CAGATCTATGGGGACAGGAGACAGATCAGTGGTTACCAGGGACCAGAAATGGGAAGAGAAGATTCACGACAAAGCTGGAGGGAACTTCTCTGAAAATACTCCCCATCTTCATGATGGTAACGATTATTTGACTGTATGGCTTTATCAAGAGTACACAGAATTGCACAGTGAGGATGCTGAACTCCATGATACAATAAGTTATACTTCAGTGATACTCATTTTTAAAGACTTCTTTATTTTCATCTCTCTCCCTCCCTCTCCCTCTCCCTCTCTCTCTCTGTACCTACGTGAATTTATGTGCATCACATGCATGCAAGGGCTGGAGTTACAGGTGGTTGGAAACTGTCTCATGAGGGTGTTGAAAACTAAACCCAGGTCCTCTAGAGGAATACTATATGCTCTTAACCCCTGAGCCATCTCTCTAGCCCAATCCTCCTTTTTAAGATGTATATGTTTTTATTTTATGTGTATGAGTATTGTACCTGCATGTATGTGTGTGCACTATGTGTTCGGTGCCCAGGGAGATCAGAAGAGAGTGTCAGGTCCCCTGAAACTGAAGTTCCAGGCAGTTGGGAACCACCTACATAGGTTCTTAGAACTAAATTCAGGTCCTCTGCTAGATCGGCAAGCACTCTTAATCACCCCCAACTCTAGCCCTTTAAAGGGGTGGGAATTTTCTGGGGACACCATGTGCCTGGAGAGAAAGGTTAGAGTTTATCATTTTGCTGCAGAGTCTCAAGTTCCAATAAATTCTGTCAGTTCCCAAAGAGAAGAAGCCTTGGGCAGCCTCATTCCCAGTTCCTAGGTTCATATCCACTGGTGACCTGAGTAGCGGTAGGCACAGGACTCTTCCACTTGTGGAGAAGGCAGAGGAGGGGATGGTGAGTTCTAGCAGGCCAGCCTGTGGGCAGCAACGAGGGTAGTTTGTCCCCGAAGCTGCTCAGTCACACACATACCCCTTGCCCGGTTAATTATCCATCTGCTGATTCATGACTTGCGGTTCCTGTGGGCATGCTTCCTGGATGTTCCTGCCAGCAAGGGCAGGATCCTTGCAGCTGGGAGGAGATGATAAACAGAGACCCGGGGAGTGCAGGGAGTTGCAAAGGGAGAATTTCTATCAGGAAATCCTAGAGTCACATTCGGTTCCCCTCCTCACACCACGGCCTCCTCGTCCTATATTATGCTATTAGCAGGAGACACATGTCACCTTCGCCATCACGCTCGTGAACCAGAGGGGAAGAACAGAAAAGAATGTTCTAGTGACTCCTCCAAAGACAGGACAAATGGGAGACACTTCAGAGGATCCCTGTGTTTTCATCCTTCTTTGGTCGGAAGATGTGCAACAGTGCAAAAGCCCGAACAGCCAAAGGGCTGGGAGTGTGGTTTAGCAGTAGAGCACATTCAGCAAGCACAAAGCCCCGCATTCCGTTCTCAGCAACACACACACACACACACACACACACACACACACACACACACCAGTTAAAAACACTTGAGGTTACAAATGTATAAATATTGGATTTCGGGGCTGGAGAGATGGCTCAGAGGTTAAGAGCATTGCCTGCGCTTCCAAAGGTCCTGAGTTCAATTCCCAGCAACCACATGGTGGCTCACAACCATCTGTGATGGGGTCTGGTGCTCTCTTCTGGCCTGCAGACACACAGACAGAACATTGTATACATAATAAATAAATAAATATTTAAAAAAAATATTGGATTTCTTCAAATTAAGAGACATCACCTCTAGATGTCTTTGTTTATTTTGTTTATTTTCTTGTTGTTTTTGAGACAGGGTTTCTTTGTGTAGTCCTGGCTGTCCTGGAACTCACTCTGTAGACCAGGCTGGCTTCAAACGCACAGAGACTCACTTGCCTCTGCCTCCTGAGTACTGGGATTAAAAGCATGCGCCACCACCGCCCGGCTTAGATAGCTTTTTATACCATTCCCTACATAGTTCTTTTGTTGCCTGTGTGCCAAGCACCGGGCACAGTGTTGAACAAAACAGACACTGCTCTCTTTGTGGAGACTGAAGTCTTATGTGTTAGGTTTTACCACCTTCATCTTACAAAGTTGAGATTCATTGGGGGAAAAATGAATGTGTGGGCCTCTCTCCTCCTGGGCCTTCTCTGTAGATTCTTACAGGACCAGAGGGGCTGGAATGTGCCAAGCCACCAAAGAGAAATGGGCGGAATTAAGAGGATGTGAGAAATGGATTCTCAACTGGAAGCCTGGATTGCATTGATGCATGAAGTAGCGGCAACTCTGGTCTCCAGTCCATAGTACACACCAGTGATTGATAGGAAAAGTAATGACAACAGGAACCACCATCTATAGAACACTCAATTTGTGCCTTTGTCTCATTTAGTCTGTGCAATAAAGGCCCTACTTTCCCCCACTTTACAGGTGAGGAACCATGACTAAGACACTAGCAAGATCACATGATCAATGAGGTGCAAAGTCAAGAATCAAACCTACATCCTGCTGGTTTAAACCCCAGCGGGCCCTTTCCCCTTTCCTCATCTCTCCAGGCCCTGAGAATTCTGAAAGAGGTCTTCCGTTGGAGAATTTCCAGAATATAAACTCTAGAAGAAATATAAGCACTCCATCTCTGACCTACTTAGGCTAAGCACTAAATAGGAGGAAGCCACCCAACCCAGTATTCAGATGAAAATAAATGATTATCTTTGTAGATAAAAACTGAAACTCACAACTCTTGTAGCCTTACAGCAGACTCTCCTACTCCGGACAGCCTCTCTGTGCCACCTCACTCCTTCTGTGTCCCTTCAACACTGCGTGTCCCCAAACAGCTGTCCTATCATCCCAGGACATCTGCTTCCCTGGGGACCTAATGATACTTAACACTTCTTTCACAGGGTGCTCTGGAGTCCTCTGATCCTCGACAGGACTCCACCTGCTCCTCAGAGGGAGTCTGAGGCTAGCTCAGCACAAGCCGTCACCTCTCTGGGGTGTTTCGATCACAGCAGATCTGGGAACAGATAGCCTAGCGGTTTTGCGGCTTTCGTCTGTTTGTTTTGGTGCGTATGTGCGCCTACCCATGCATGTTCATTTACAATTGCTCCTGGGCAGAGACCAGAAGACAACCCTGGGTATCATTGCTCGGAAATACCACCTTTTTTTGGAGACAGGATCTCTTTCGATCCTGGAGCTCCCCAAGTAGACCAGACTGGTTCACCAGTGAGCCCCAGGGAGCTGTCTGCCTCTGTCTCCTCCCCAGTACTGGAATTACAAGCACACCACTACACCAACCTTTTTAAATAGGTTCTGGGGACAGAATCCAGGTCCTCCCACTTTCTCAGTCCAGCCTCCCCACCTTCCCCATCCCATTAAAGAATCTTTAGACCCAGACTTAGCTATACCCGAGCAGTGTGATCCTGTATGGATCATTGCAACTATGTGAACTAAACCAACAAGTAATACGTGGGTTCAGGAAAGGTGCGAGAAAGTGAGAGACCAAAGTAGCAGATATACTTCATCCTCACTAGAGCTGATCAAGCACCCTGCTATCTAGGCACCATCTGTGAACTCAGGGCTCTCTTCTCAAATTACAGATGATGATAACAGCGATGATGACGATGACACCCAGGAGTTACTTTGAAAGCTATAGATAGAAACAAACCACAAAGTGTTTGAAATACATCTCAAGAAAATAGCAGAGAAGAGCTGGAAGTTATCAGACACAACAAAGAACACCAGCTCCTTGGTTTGATTGCACAGGGTACTTGTGTGTGCATTTCCACACTTTACATAGGCACACCCTGTCATCTTATGTCAATTTAAAATTCAGAAGTGGTGAGTTTTTTTAAGGTTTTACGTTCAAGGAAGTTAGCCTGTCTATCTGTAAGAAACATCATGTTTTCTGGTAAGTTTCCCCATTCCCAGTCAATGGCAAGCAGCAGCTACCAGAGTCTCAAACATCTCCAGGGCACAATGCTGGAGATTCTGCTTTCTGATCTGTGGTCACAAGGCTCGTCCAATGTAGGGTAAAGATCACAGTTTTCATCTGTCCTTGGGAAGCTTCCGCAACAAGGGGCAACCGAAAGTTTTCCTGAAACATCCTTCCCGGCCCATGGTGGTTTATCTGTATCATCACGGAAGGGTCTTGAAGGTGACCACTAAAATTTAGCCTCAAAATCAACTTAATAAAATTTTACCCTAAAAAAAAAAAATTAGTCTGGGTCTGGAGATGTAGTTCAATTAATAAAGGGCACTTGGTATGAGGAGACCCTGGGTTCAACTCCCAGCAGCGCATAAATCCTGGGCAGTGGTGCCCGTCTGTAATCCTAGCACTCATTAGTGAAGGCACAGGAGGGTCTGAAGTTAAAGGTTACCCTCGACTACACAGTGTGAAGCATCCTGAAATACGTGAGACCCTATCTCACACACACACACACACACACACACACACACACACACACGCATCTGCAGGGTTTAACTTGCTCCAGCTGACCCAGAACCTCAGTTTCTCCACCTCCAGCAATATCACCTCCCGCTCCCCTAGGGCTCTGTTGACTGGACCACTCCCCATACCGCAGCACCAGTGAGACTAAAAGCTGACTGCCCAGGCAACTAACTGATGGTGTGAACTGCAAGCAGAAAGGACAAAGCCAGCCCCAAGGATGTCCGTGCTGACTCCCAGCACACAGTCAGGGCGTGTTGGTTGCGAGATCTGTCCCAAAAGGACTCGAGCTCGAACGCTCCCCCTTAAAGAGTGGAGCAGCCAGATGAACAAACTCGAGGGGAGAGACGTGCTTTACTCGGAGAAAGGGGCAACCCCGAGTGTACGAACTCACCCAAGCAGGTGAGCCGCATCCCTCTGCCAGAGCACTGGGGCCGCCCCGCGGAGCCCCACCTTGCCTCTGCCACCCGCTACGCGCCCTCGAGGCCAGCGGAGGAAGGACCCGCCCCCCAGCTCCTCAGCTTCCCAGCCCGAGCTCCGGGGTCCCACGGTCCCATGGCAGTTGGCACACTCGCCTCCCTCACCTCCAACGACAACGCCCGCCAGTGTCCCCAGCGCCAGCAGAGCTGCCCAGAGCCACCCCGGCCGCCGCGCTCGCATCCTGTCCGCTGTCCTTCACACACCGCGCGCCACGGCGAGCCTAGAGCCCAAGGCTGCTTTTCCCGCGGCGGGAGGGGAGGGAAGAGGAGGGGACGCAGTGGGTGGGACGCGCGGGGCGGGCCAAGGGCGTGCGCTCCCTCCCCTCGGGCGCCGGTCCGGACCCTGCCTGAGGCAGCGAGCGCTATGGGGGAAACTGGCACGCCTCTCTTAAGAACCCTCCCCAGCCCTTCCTTTACCGCGAGGATCCACCTGAGAACTCACTAGTGGGGACCGAGCTCCACAGGGTCGTGTGCGCATTTGGGTCCCAGGGATTTTGCTCCTGGGTGCTTGGTAAAAAAAGAAAAGAAAAGAAGGAAAGAAAGTTGCTACAGGGCCACTTCCTGGACTCTCTAGTCCCACCTCCGCAGAGACAGCAACACACTGATACTTCACTTAGCCTGACTCTGATTTCTTCCAGTCTCATTCAGTCTCTCTGTCACTCTTTAATAGGCAGCTGTCGAAAGCTTTCCCTGCAGCCTTCTTGGCAATTTCCACGTCTCCAACTTGTGTTAGAAAAGATGGATCTGTGAAGAGCCTCTGTCTAGAAATGTTTACTTGCACTTAGCACGTGTCTTATGGCCGTTTCAGGGCAGTCACTGTATTGCCTCCAAACTCAACTTCACTATTTTTGTTAGTCCCCCCCCCCCCCCAAGAGATCACTTGCCTGTTATTCCTATCCCCTATGCTAGTTTCCTTGGGTCTTCCCTTAGATAGGAAACCTCTAGAAGATCAAAAGTTGCAAAATACTGAAGCTGAGGCCATAGGAAGCGATTGGGGCTGTGAATCCTGGCGCAAGAACGGTGAAAAACGAGAGTAGGGCTGGCGATGCAGCGGAATTGGTAGGGCGCTTACTTGTGTGCACTGGGTTCCATTCCCAGCGCTACAAAAGCAGGAAGTGATGGTGTATGCCTGTAATTCCAGCGCTAAGGAGGCAGGAGGACCAGAAGTTCCAGGTAGTTCTTGAGTACATAGGGCAATATAAGCCAGCCTGAGCTACAGGAAACCTTGGGGGAGGGGCGTGGCAAGAAGAGACCTGACTCCTTGACCCCTCACTAGCTCTTCCCCCAGGAGATTCTTTTCACTCCTTAATGTCCCATGCCTTTCCATCTGACTGACCTCCCTTCCTCTTTCCATTTGGAAAATTCCACTTATTTTTTCAAAGCATCTCAAATGTCATCTCTTCCATGCCATCTTGTCTGACACTCCTCATCTTCCGGCTTCATCCTAGGCAGAGGTGAGAACTTCTCCCTCAGACCTCCCCAACACCAGGATATTATAGCATTTTGTGTAACAGGTAAGGGCTTTACAACTGTACAAATTAGTTCACACAATTGCATTTATTTATTTATCTATTTCTTCTTCTCCTCCTCTTCCTCCTCCTTCTTCGTTTTTCAAGATGTGATTTCTCTGTATAGCCCTGGCTGTCCTAGAACTCACTTTGTAAACCAGGTTGACCTCAGACTCACTGAGATCCTCCTACCTCTGCCTCCCAAGTGCTGGGTGTGCGCCACCACAGCCCCACCAAAATTGCATTTTTATGCTATTACATAGCAAGTGAGCCATAGCAGAGCATGGCGATACACGTCTCAGTCCCAGCACTTGAGGGTAAGGCAGGAGAATGGCCATTCCCCGAGTACAGCCTAGGCTGCATAGAAATCCCATCTCAAGCAAAATAATAATACTAGTGAGGCTGAAAGACGTCTGAATGGGTAAGAGTGCTTGCTGGAACAACATGAGAACCTGGGTTCAAATCCCCAGCACCCGTATCCAAGCACAGACATACGCTGGCCTGTGAGCCCAGTGCCATGGGAAGGCTGGCGGGCAGCTAGCCTAGCTCCAGGTTCAGTGAGAAACCTCAGCTTAAAACAATAAGGCAGAATGTAACAGAGCAGAACACCCCCCTCATGCTCTGAGCGCCCCGTCCACGCATAGGTACCTGCAACTACACACATGTGTACTTGTCCACACACACCCTCATATACACATACACACAAAGCAGTAATTTTTGTCATTTTTAATTTTAAACAGTTATTTAATCCCTTAAATAAGGAAATCAGATTCATCCACATATTTCCTGTTTCTGGTACCATTGTATAGTTCTGAGTTTCTATCTAGAAACACTTGCCTTCATTCTGGAAAGCATCTGAAGTTTAGCAACTCCTGGGGCTGGAGAGGTGGCTCAATAGTTAAGAGCACTGGCTGCTCTTTCAGAGGACCTGGGTTCCGTTCCCAGCGCCCACATGGCAACAACTCAGAATAGTCTGTAACTGTGGAGATTCGACAACCTTACTCAGACATACATGCAAGCCAAACACCAATGCACATAAAATAAAGATAAGTTAATTATTTTTTTAATTAGCAACACTTACAACTCTCCTTAAACAAATATGCCTAATTTCCAGTTACTTCACTCTGGTTTTAATGATATTTCTTAGAAATAGCTTTATAGCTTGTCAGAGGTACCCCCATCTTATTATATCCTCAAGTTAATTGCATTCATTGTGTGTGTGTCTATATGTGTGTGTCTATGTGTGTGTATGGGTGTGTGTCTATGTGTGTGCGTGCATGTGTGTGTGTGTGTGTGTATGTGTGTGTGTGTGGTGTGTGCAGGTACATGCATGCCATCATACACATTGAGGTCAGAGGACAACGTAGAATCCAGGGATGGAACTCGGGTCAGTCAGCTGGCCCTCCCCTTAGTGCTTCCAGTATTATATTACTTTTCTCAACATACCTGACAGACACAATTTAAAGGAAGAAATATTCATTTTGGCTTCAAATTTGAGGGACTCTCAGTCCATCGTGGCAAAGAAGACCCGGTAACAGGAGTCGCTTAGTCCCTGATGAAAGGGACCTGAGGCTGCTGGTCACCCTGTGACAGCAGACCTGGAAGTAGGGAGGATTAGATGAAACCTGGAACTGAGCTACTGCCTTCAAAAGTTCCCTTCTCCCAGCCAGGACTTACCTTTTAAACAATCCACAAACCGCAAATCTGCACCACCAACTGGGGACCTCAAAATGAGCCTGTGAGGGCCATTTTACATTCAAGCCATAACAAAGAGGTCCCACCGTGTGCTGACTCCACTGTCTCTGCTGAAGTTTATCTTTTCTATTCTCTTCCCTATCTTCTTGTTCTAGCTGGTTCCCCACACCCTAACTTTTCATTTTGAAATTAGTATGTTTATCTTGTCATTATAAAGGACTAAGGAAAGTCCCCTTCTGTCCTTCACCCAGCTTCCCCTAATGTCCACATCACAATTACCAAACAAAGACATAGCTTGTTAATTCAGTGTTTTGAACTAATCCTGTTACAGAATTCGAGCTGTGCTGCTCTTCCCGCTGTCCTGTTCTGATCCCGGATCTCGGTTGTATTAGCCATCGTTTCTCCCAACTCTCCTTCAATCTTTGACATTTGCATAGTCTTACTTTTTAAACATCATCCCTGATTGGAAAACTGAAGGGATGGTTTCTAACTGTGCCGAGAAGAGTACACGGAGCAGTTGGCAGAGATGCAGGCACTGCCTGGCTCGATGGCCTACCCTCTTTCTCTAACTGCTTCCTCGCCCCGCTCTCTAAACCCTAAGTGAACAAGGACAGTTCCTGGTGGCCATATTTCAGCCAGTGGCATGCTTTGTGGATACAGAATAATAAACAAGGGTGTGTGTATGCTAAGAGCTCTGCCAATCAGAGCCCATTCCCAGAATCCTGGATTAGGACACCCAGTGAGTGTTGAGTGCCTGGGTCTGTGCAATCAAGCTTGGGAGCTGCAGGTCCCCTGAAAGCTGAGGCCAGGAAAGCCATTTTGAGTAGAGTGCATGAGAATGCAGACCTAAGTCTAAGCCGCTTGCTCAAACAGACTCTAGGTGGAGAATAACCATTGGGATTAAAGGCCAGGAAGAATGTCCAGCAAGGTGTAAAGTGTCACTTTTTCTTCGTTTTCATCACTTAGATGTTTTTGAAAAGTCGCCAATTTTTTTTTTAGTTTGTCTTCTGTTTTCTCATGATTGTCTCATTTTGGACAAGAATGCCACAAAAATGATCAGCATGGTTGCCTTTGAAGATAACCTCAGGAGCACGTAATGTTAATATGTCTTATTACTGAGAAGGTTGACTTTGATGACATAGTTATGATAGTATCTGCCCAGGTTTGCTCGCTATAAAGCCACCATTTTCCTCTTCGTTACTGATGCATGTTTCATTAATTAATTAATGCATATTTCATAAGAAAGGTAATTTATTTCTGTGTCCCAAGACCCGAGTTCCATCCCCAAGCCCCACACGGAAGAGAACAGAAAAGAGAACTGACCCCAACAAGATTGCTTCTTTTTTTTTTTTTTTTTGGTTTTTCGAGACAGGGTTTCTCTGTGGTTTTGGAGCCTGTCCTGGAACTAGCTCTTGTAGACCAGGCTGGTCTCGAACTCACAGAGATCCGCCTGCCTCTGCCTCCCGAGTGCTGGGATTAAAGGCGTGCGCCACCACCGCCCGTTGCCACACAAGCCACTGTGGACTGAGGGCTGGGGGCAGAAGGGCGGGGGTGAGACACACACACACACACACACACACACAAGTAAATAAATGAAATGTAATTTTAAAAAGAAAAGAACAAGTGATGAAGGCTGGATGGCAAAATTAGTGGGTTGTCAGGCCTGCCAGCAAGTAAGTGCTTCTCACTGGTGTCTCCCTTATTTTGTAATTTTTCCATCAGTGTTTCATAACTGCGACATTCGCTGCTACGTGTTTAACGGGGCTTTCCTACTTCCTTCAAGGGATTAATTAGTATTCTACACAAGGAAGGGCTGTCCTGGTTCTGTTTCTAAAATTAATAGATTCATATCACTATGAGCCCATGGATACTTATTCCATGGGTTATTATAATCCAATACTATCATTTTGTTGTTAAGTTTGTCCCAGTTTTTCTCCTGACTACCTTTACATTTTTTTCTTTGTCTTTGACTTTTTTTAAAGCCACTTCACTCTCTGGTAACTTTGCATTTATGTTTGAGTT